CCCTTAGCCCGCGTGCAGGCCCAAGGGAACTGATAGTGGGCCTGCAAGCAAGGCCCGGTATTTTGTAAAACGCCCCTTTTCATAACACGCCCCATTCGCGCGTCAATTGTCAAAAAAGAACCAATGACAGCAACCCAAATATTAACAAACAAACTCGCATTAAAATGTTGCGGGGTTTTCTCTGCTTTAATATTCAAAATAGAAACAATGTGTAAACGCCTGTGTTAAAACTCCAAAAAAACAAGCAACGCAGTCAGTAATTGCCAAATTTACAAGTGCTCATTTTCAACTAAAATCGGAACAGGCAAATTAAGACGAATTTCAACAGAAAACCAGTCTCAAACTTCAAATCGTGAGGGAAGTCGTGCGACCACATCAGCATTTATAATGTTGTTTCGCTGTCGCCATTGTTATAAATAAATTGTCTCACTTATCAGATCGTGTGTGCAATTCTTGTTGGCGGCGGAAAGTACGAAATTTATTTCAGTTATTTCATTTGGTGAGAACTCTACAAAAGAAGAGAGCGTTCAGAGTCCAGATCGTTTCGTTTCAAACGGCAATTTAATACTGTCTTCTCTTTTGCTCTCTCAGCGAAGCCTTGTAAATCGCAAAGTATTTTGAATAGGCTTACATGCAACTGCATCTCAACATCAACCAAAAGATAATTTCTCAAGTAAAGGTTACTATAGTTTTATACCCCATTCGTAATAAATGTTGCTATTCCAACACCTCACGACAAGCAATCCTCATTGGCATAACGGTAAAAACATCTCTTCCTTCAAGTAAACAATAAACAGTCTGTTCTTGTTCCATTTGTAATCGAAAAAAGTGATCAATTTTCGAATTTTAAGCTTGTCGAGAGCCTTTGTCTATGCCTTTGTGATGAATCACTGACCTAATTATAGAATCCAACAGCAAACAGCCAATCAGAATGCCGCGTTCGTGGGCGAACGCGGAAAGTACAAAATACCGGGCCTTGCTTGCAGGCCCACTATCAAGTTCCCTTTCAGCCTGCTCCCTTGGGCCTGCACGCGGGCTAGACTTTTCGGGATTCTGCCCGACTAGTACCAAAAAATTTTTTCCGGAAAAATTTTTTTGGCGACCTCCCCTCCCCCGTCGCCAAAAAAATTTCGGTCAGTGTACCATTTTAAGGGTCAAAAAAATTTTCCGGACAACCTATATTTTTCGGAACATAACACAAATTTTCGAAACATCACAAAATTTGCCAAAAAATTGACTTAATTTTGACAAACTTGACAGAATTCGTCCCATTTTTTTTAATTGCGAACCAAAATTGCCCGACTGTTGATCGAATATTGCCCGACTGCCCAAAAAACTGGGGGGGCTACCGCCCCCCCGCCCCCCGGCCCCCCGCCCGGTACGCCTATGCTGATAACGATCAAACCTGTAAAATTAATTTATTTGTTTACTTCAGTAGTATTCACTGTATGTCTATGCATACAATTTCGATTATCTAGTGATGCATGCGTTTTGATTCTAATACTGATGTACGTCCTGCTTCTGAATTAGTATTCATAAGTCATAACCTTCATAAACATCCCTCTAAGATGACTTTCCGATCTTACATAAATACCGCGCCTATTTGCAGCCTTATTAATTATTCATGATTTTACAAGCGGACACAAACCTCTGGCCTCAATTTAATAAAAACTAATCCTAGGCCACATAAAATAAATTACTTGATTCTCATCACCGCCCGACTGTATTTTAAGAGACGCGTGAAATTTTTTTATATTTTGTTATACAATATAAATGAACCGCCCGACAAAATATTTCAAGACAGTTAAGTTTTTTATATTTAAAATTGGGTTTTTAGTGCCATTTTAAACTGCCAATTTCAAACAAATAGAACCTTGAAAGAAGTTTCATTGCATTTTAACGGAACTTCGCATTCAGTTGAACGGTTCAGTCATTGTTCGTGGAGAAATATGTTCATTTTGGTTTGTGACACTTCACTTTGGAAATCACAGAGTCAGAAATATTAAATGTTAGGAATTATCAGTTTTTTATTTATTGATGATAAATTATATAAATATAAAATATAAACCTCCCGGCTCTTCGACATTTTCAAAGTCTAGTGATGAGAATCAAGGAATTTATTTTATGTGGCCTTAGTCTGTTCTTCTTAAGACCCAGTAAGGGTCATATGAACTTTACCTATACCGGCTATAGCTCTATCAGTTCTAAACTGCTTCCACGAGATATTCAGTGAGTGACAACCTAGCTTTATTGGTACAGTGTTACTACTGCAGGAGGAAACCTAAACCAAACGAATTTTATACTGGATAGCTCTATCAGTTCTAAACTGTTCTTCCAAGGGCCAAGATATCTTGTAAACATCATCCTTTATTGTTCTATAGTGTTACTACAGGAGACCTGAGCTAAACGTATTTTATTAGGTCTAAACTGTTCTCCCTAGAAATGCAGTATAGGTAATCCTTTATTGCTCCAGTATTAGCACAGGACTAAAGCTTGTAGAACAGGAGGAAACCTAAATTATACACGAAGTTAATTAACGGAAAAATTGACATTAATTGTGGGTTTTTGATTTTTCAATGTAAAATCTGAACTCTTATATACCATCATTGGTTATTATAGATTTCCATGCAGATGGTAAATTGGTAAAAAAAGCATATATTTAATGTTTACCACTAATGCATGGTACTTTATTTTTTCCTGTGCACAGGAAAATTACTATTGATGGTAAATATTAAATATCACGGTTTTTACCAATTTATCATATTGGAAATCTATAATAAGCAATAATGGAAAGAATTCAGTTTTTACATTAAAAAACCATTAATGAAAATATAATTACAAATATAATATACAGCTCTACAAAACTGCACTCCCCAAGGTCCCCAAGAAATCCTGTGAAGGTCATCATTCATTGCTTCAGCGTTACTACTGACTAAACCTAAGCTAATCTAACTGTTTTTATACCAGTTCCCTGGCAACCCTGTAAGGATCATTGACCTTGCTTTATTTTTCCTGTTTTCCAGCGCTACCATATACGAGACCGAAACATGCGGCTAAAGCTTGCCAAATGAAATTAATTTAGAAAACATTTTTTCACATGCGACTACCATCTGCCACAAGACAGTGTTTGGTGAAATACTGGCGATTCCAGAACTGGGGTTACTGCGTAAAATTCAGGCTATATTCTGTAACAGAGTTTTAAAATGCAAAGCAGCACGGATAAGCGTCAAAAATTACGCAAATCCTGCTCAAAGCGTTTGACAATAAGATGTAGTTTTAATCTTTCCGCTTTCCACTTGCAAATCAAATGTAAACATACCAGACACAAGCACTTGCAACGATCAAGGTCACGACCGGTTTATTAAAACATAAAATTATATATTTAAATATGAACCATATGCACAAATTATGTCGACTAGACTATGTACAATTTCACAAATAGACCAAGTATATATTGGCAAGTTCACGTTTTCAAAAAGCGCCAGGGTTTTTAAAGTTTTCCTGGCTTGTCAAAACAAAAAACACATTAGATTTACAAGCATATAGATTTTGTTCGCGTTGATACCATTTTGCACCATGGATACGTCCATAAGAACAGGAGAATCTAGCGATTTGCAAAGCGCTCTGGACTCAGTGCAAAGTTGGGCTGTGGAGGAACTGAATGCCAAAAAGACAAAAGAAATGTGGATTAACTTCACCGAAGCACCGCCCTCTCTACCACTGCATATAGGAGATGCTATCATAGAAAGGTCAGAAAGAGACGATAATTTCAAAATCTTGGGAACCTGGTTTCAAAAGGATCTGAAATGGAATAAACATGTCGAGGAGACCACTCGCAAAGCAGCTAAAAACCTGTACTGCCTAAGAGAATGTAGAAGAGCGAACCTACCAGTCGAAGGTGGTCTTACCACTTATTTACCTAAAATCAGGCCTATCCTTGAATATTGTTCTCCAGTGCCGGGGTGGTCTGCCACGATATCTAAAGGACGAATTGGAACGTGTGCAAAGGAGGAGTCTACGAATTATTGGCCTCCCGCATAGTTACCTGCCAACTCTCGAAGAGAGAAGAATTGAAGCCACATCTAGAGAACTCGATACTATCTTAGGTGATCCAAGTCATATCTTTTATCAACGAACTATGGCAGTGGCGTGCTGGCAGGGGGGGCCGGGGGGCCACGGCCCCCCCAGCTGGCAATTCTTGGGAGGCGCAAAAATGAAAATGGGGCGCCGAATTTTGAAAGTAGGTGGGAAAAAACGCATTCTCGAAAAATATGGTTACTTCCGCCAAGAAAAGACATGTTTATAGGCTACAGTATAAAACAGACTAAGCGCATATAGGCGACATATATTAAACAAGACGCCTGCTCAGGCGTTCACACTGACCTGAAAATGACGACATACGAGCTACGGTGCAATAGACAAGAATACAAGTCGTGAACCGCAGACCGGCAAAGCGTGAAAGGCTAAAAGCGTGCCGTGATCCTCAGGAGATGTTTTCGTAATGCCCAATTGTAATAAACACACAAGTATTACTCACAAATACAAACGTTATCCACGAATGCACATGGTTTAGCTCTGAGCATGCGATGCGCTAACACAGACAACATTGTTTACATTCCGTGAGTCCGTATATTAAACGTATAAAATTCGAAAAACTCAGCGATCCAGATATTGCATTTCCAGAGACGTTGCACGAAAAAACCCCAACCAGTCAACTTCCGAGGAAGTGCAGTTTGAAGGTAAAACATCTTAAGTCGAATTTTAGACCCCTACGATTTAAACAGCGCGTTGTTTTGATGTACGTTCTATGGGACGCGCTAAAAATATAAATATTCTGTAAATACCGAAATAAAAGATGAAAATCTGAAGTAAGACACAAGCTTGAAAATAACACTATAAATAGTGTTTTGGATTCTGATTCCATTAATACTATTACGAAAAAGATATGTCCAAAGGGGCCGAAGTTATGTTCGACGAAATGTAGGGCTAGTTTACATTGTTCATTATATTATGAAATATGATACCATACCTTACTTGTATTAAAATTCGCATCGAAGTTAAAAGTAATGTTATTGTTTGACGCAACAAATCTTCAGTAACACAATAAAATGTGTGTTTCTTGTAGTTATCAGTAGCAAGTAAATGTTTTCGCGTTTTGTATAGATGTATTGTCTGAGGGTAAAACGTCTTAAGTCGATCAGTAGCAGGTTTATTAACTTTGGACCCATCACGGATGTCGCGCCATTGACTGTACATTACGGATGCGCGAATGACTATATGTGTATTGCATATGATACAAACACATTGAGTATACAATTCTACTCTGCGTATACAATATTTTGTAGTCAAACTGTCAAAACTTTAACTTGTCCTTGTTTATATTCCATTCTATTGTATAAATTCGCGGGGTACAAATCCCGTACAATATTACAAAGAAACGGTGAAATGCTAAAAGCGTGGCGTGATCCTCAGCAGATGTTTTCGTAATGCCCAATGAAACACAAGTATTACTCACAAATACAAACGTTATCCATAAATGCACATGGCCTCTGATGGATATAGGGACTCAGGAGGTCTGGAACTGGTAATTGTGCGCGTGCGTACAAGTGTATGGGCTAATAAAGAAAGATGTACCACAAGCATGGCATGAGCCGGCTACTACGTACATAAATACGGACCTTGTTACTATGAAAACTAAATCAAGCAGTCGAGGAATCGAATGGCATTTGAATCGATGGCATTTTGAATTAATCGTTGCACCCTGAGCCTGCGATGCGCTAACGCAAACTCCATTTCTCGACGAAAACAGAAAACAGAAAATTAGGGATTTAAGACACTTGACCTTTCAGGTCAGTATAATTACAGACTATTTTGCCTATAACCGTATTTGCTACCTCACAGCTCACACGAAATCGTTCATATAGAAACATGATCAGTGATCACAGGCAATGTCTCATTACCGGAATATTGGTCAGGTTTCGATCGATGCGATCACAGCAATTATGCCCTTTTTTGCTGGTATTATGCGCTTATATTATGCCCTTTATTATGCTTCACGAATCACGAGAGCGGCGCAAATTAGATAGTTGAAGTTATGATAACTGATGTTTAGTTGTGTACGCAATTTAGTTGTTTGCACAAGAAGCATGAGTAATGTAAGCAATGAAATAATGCTGAAACATGCCCTTTTGGCAGCCAGGCAAGGAAACCTTAAAATGCATATGCGTGGGTTGCTTGTGTTATTGTATAAAAGAGCTTTAAGTTGTAAATGTACTCGGAACAGTAGATCAGTAGAGAACAGAATTGGGATTAGATTAATCGCTGGAAGTAGTTAGCATTGCATAATTTAAGTACTGCTACTAAATTCTAACCGAATTGCAAATTTCGACACGTTATAATGCCGTTTCCTGACCATCAGATTTCTGTCAAATCTTCCCCCAAAGTCCAGGAAATGGCATTTCAGAGACTCTAAATTCAAAAATTTTCCTGGGGGGGCATGCCCCCGGACCCCCCTAGACAAACCTCGCACCTGCGGCACTCGGCTCGTGCCTTCGGCCCTCGTTTATCAAGTGTAACATTATAGGGGCGCATATTGGTTGACAGCCCACTGGCCCCTCCAGAAAAATAGTACCCAGCACGCCACTGAACTATGGAACATAATAAACATAACTATAATCTTAGGCGTAGACGATATATTTAAATACGCACCTTTTTCAGGCACTGAACGACACAGAAACAGTTTTATCCCACGAGCAATGAGACAGGGGTTGCATTAAAACTTAACTTGGTTTTTATTAACTTTTTACCGATAGTTTGTAAATATTACTGCATGCCTAGTTATGCTTTTTTCTTTTAATAGACATTGTTGTACTGAATCCATTGTAATTTTAAACTAAAGATGGATCAATAAAATCATCATCATCATCATCAACTGCTGCATCGTAACCATTGTTGGATATGCCTCCTCGACATCCGAAGACGTAAATTCGTCACATTGAATGGGATTCGATTAAACGCAGCATTCCGCCGCATTTGAAAATAATTAGCGCGGCGCTCATTCGGGGCGGCGCTCTTTAAAAAAATTGATCTCAGATGCGGCTCTCATTCTGGGGAGGCGCTCAATCGGGGGCGGCGCTCAATCGGGGGCGGCGCTCAATCGAGTAAATACGTTAATACCTGAGATGTGCGTTCTGATAGATAGATAGATAGATAGCCTGCGTAGCAGGCGTTTAGTGCGGGCGGGAGAAGAAAGGGCGTCGTTAAATAAACGCCTGCCCAAATGCCTATGATTAATTTGTTCTTCTCCGAAGAATCTTCGGAAAAGCTTCCCATTGGTTAATCTCGTTAACGGAAGTAATTACGTAACTCAAATGTCAACAATAATTTTGCTCGCGTTGACGTAGCCTGAATACAGACCTTCGTTTTGCTCACTCTATAATTCGCGGTTCGACCCGCGAATTTTAGGGTGGGCGAAACGTAGGTCTGTTTTCAGGCTAGCGTTGATGCGTTTATAGTCGCGTATCAAAAATATGCCGCCTGTTAATGCTGTCGAGGAAACTTTCTTATATTTCAAGTATTTATGCTTCGAAATTCAGTTGAACCAGAACAGAGAAAGTATATTATTAATTTGCTACGTGGTGAAGACGCCGGTTATCGCGATTCTTCCTAGGAATACGGAAAAGTTTGATCTTTCAACTAGAAAATACATGCATGCAGAAACCCTCGCCTTGCTGACAAAACCATTGTATTTTCCAAACATGAAATATCCAAAGTTGTTGTCATGGTAATAACACGATAATTTTTTAAGAATATTCTTACAAATGAAAAATTGCCTAAAAATATCGATTTTAATTACAAAATTATCAATTTCCCAACATATATTTGTTAGGTATGTTATTATACGTAATATAAGCTTCAATTTAAGGTAAAATTCAACCACAAAAGCTTCGCAAAACGTTTTAAAACGTTCTTTATAAAACTAAATTGCCTGGCTTTAATTAAATGGCTTTATCGATAAACTTTGAGTTTGCAACAAAATGATTTCAAATTCTCGCATGCAAATAACTTTGCTTTCTTTTTAGTAAAAAAATTCAATATAATAAAAAAGGAATCAATATTAATAATACACTGAATTGACTGAAATTATATGCTGTCTTGTTTAGTTATTTCATATACGCAAAGGGCCAAAGGCCGTCGGGTTTTAAAGCAATTATAAAATCAATATTTAACACAAACTTACCTTCGTTAACGTCGGCTCCCTTCTTTTAGCCGATTCTTTCGCCGTTTCTATCTTGAAATTTACAAAATCTTGCAAAAATGCGAGTAAAATTGAAGTATATTTGCAAGAAATTTATCAATCATCAAATCTGTGATCAAATCAAGAAATGTTTGCTATTTCGCTGTCGTCATACAGTCTTTACCTTTATAAACCTTTATAAACTTTAAATTGGACCAATCAGTGTCCGCTATTCATGACAGTCCGCCATATTTTTGAGATCAGTGAGGATGACCACCCAACATAAATTGGGGGTATAGAGGTTATATTTTTCCTAAAGTCAATAATCATCTCCATACACTTTTTATAGTTTAGTTCCATTCCTTCGTCCTTTGCAAACTGTACCACCTTGTCTACGTTCATTTGAGTATTACCGATTGGGATGCCACCTAAATGGTCACTGACATTGATTACTTCCGATAATGTTGTGTCATCCATAAACATCGCTACGTCCTGGTCTAGTGGTCTTCTACGGCATTACATATTTGATCATGGTTATTGGGTATAATAGACGTTGGTAGTTGGTTTATTTTTATTATAAACGCAATAGGACCCAACTTACTCCCTTGTGGAACGCCTCCCTTGATTCTTTTACAATCAGACTGTTCTCCATGGAAAGACGTTACTTGCATGTGATCTGTTATATTTACAGTCTTGTGAACTGAATTACTATTGAATTTACGTTCCAACTGGAAAGGACAGAAATTTGCCAATTTTGTATGTAGACGCAAGTTGCCCAGTGTGTGTCAGTAACCTAAGTTGTCAA